TTCCCCGGTGGCGGGCGGCGGCGCCAAAGCGGCGGAGGGCAGCTCCAACGCCCACCTGCACGGCGGCGCGGGCGTCCCCCCGGGGGGTCCCGGAGGCGGCGGTGGGGGCAGCGGTGGCGGCGGCGGCGGCGGCGGTGGCAGCAGCAAGAAATCCAAAGAGCAGAAGGCGCTGCGACTCAACATCAACGCCCGCGAGCGCCGAAGGATGCACGACCTGAACGACGCGCTGGACGAGCTACGCGCGGTCATCCCCTACGCGCACAGCCCCTCGGTGCGGAAGCTCTCCAAGATCGCCACGCTGCTGCTCGCCAAGAACTACATCCTCATGCAGGCGCAGGCCCTGGAAGAGATGCGGCGCCTCGTCGCCTACCTCAACCAGGGCCAGGCCATCTCGGCCGCCTCGCTGCCCAGCTCGGCGGCGGCGGCGGCGGCGGCCGCTGCCCTGCACCCGGCTCTCGGAGCCTACGAGCAGGCAGCCGGCTACCCGTTCAGCGCCGGGCTGCCCCCGGCCGCGTCCTGCCCGGAGAAGTGTGCCCTGTTCAACAGCGTCTCGTCCAGCCTCTGCAAACAGTGCACGGAGAAGCCTTAAACACCACCCCCCTCCCCGGAGGAACGCGAGACAGACCCCAAAGCTGGAGGAAAGCGGAAAAACTGCTCCCCACCCCTTTTATTTTGGTTCTCTCGTAGTTGTGAAACACTGGCAGGGCGAACAAAGCAGAGGCAAGGACTGAGAAGTATCCTAGACAAGCGGGACTTTTAGCCTTGACATCCAGGAATCTCGGTCTTTGGGGTGGGGAGGGAGGGACGAGGGAGGTGGAGTTGGGAAGAAGTGTAGACGTCTTTATTTTTCCCCCCAGCGCACGGTGGCAACTTTGGTGACAGCCTAGACCCAAGGAAGTGCAGTCGTCTTTGAAGATGGAAAAATAACTTGAGAAGCAGTACTTCCTTATTAGGCGTGGAGAGTATTGAATGACAAAGCATTAATCCCACTAATAATTGTGAATTTGACTAGTGCTAGAGGGGAAAGCAGTCCAGTACGGGGCTGGGAGGCTGCGGACAGAATATTCATTTAGACAAATCAGAATGGGCACTCGAAAACAAATTTTGATTCTGAGCCAGGAGAAAAACTTGGAATGTAGACTTAGGTGGGGGGGAAAGCAGAGCGAGAAAGAGACATGTTGCTATGAAAGACTTGTATTTTTTATTGTCTCTGAACTTAAATCCTGTGAAAATGCTCAAAGTTTTGGCGAGAGTGATATTAAAAAAAAAAAAAAAACTGACTGTGGCTGAAAGAATTGCATTTAAAAATATTTATGTGCACCTTGTTACTTTCTACTCTGCAATGATGTATGAACAATTCATGGTATTTATTTGTTATTCTCCAATGATCCTTCCCATCAACAGTATTTATTATGTGTTAAGGTCATGGGTCTTATGTGCAGATTTTTTTTTAATGCCTCTAAAATTCTGTTTCATAGATTAACTTATACTGTGTGCCAAGTGATTAAAGGTTTATTTGCCAACAAGTGTGAAGAGAAATATTGATGTATCTGAGCTGCTTAGGTTTTCGAAAGGTCACCTGGATATTTTCAGTTGCATCATCCCTGTATTTAAATTGAGCTTTAATAAATTGCTTCAGTCCAAAAATTACAGGAAAGGTGTATTCTTAATTGATGAATGAATTGATCTCTTTTTCAAAAGGGGACTTCTTTGCATTTCAAAAGGGAAAAACATCACAGCAATAGATCCTATAAGTAAGAACTTGCTAAGTAAATATTTTTTTCCAGGCTGTGCTGTGCATTTTAATAGGTCTAGTTTAATTGCTTTTAATATATATGTACATATATGTTATTTTAACTGTGAAGAATTATTAAGTTAAAAGGCTGGTTTGATTTGCTTATGGTGTGAAATCCTTTGTTATTTTTCTAAAAAAAATTAAAATAAATAAAATAAGCTAAGGAAGAGCAAGAAGCTGTATACCCAAAGTGAGCTTTCAGTTATAGTTTGCATGGCTATCTGCCTGCCTTTCTGTCCTGTAAAAATCAAGAAAACCTCTTTTAAAAATGGATTCCTGCTATTTTCCACTCTTTGCAGATAATACAAATTCAGTTTGTCAGGTTGGATGGTGAGTTGGGAACTGTAATGGATCTGTTGGTGGGTTTTGGATGTGTAAAGAATGATATTGATATATATCTATATATTAAATAGGTCAATCAGACTATGACAGCTATGTATGACCATTTGTATGTGTATCTATGTCAGAAAGAATCTTTATTAAAATATTTTGATCAAACATTTTATTATGCTGTGCTTTGTGGAAGGAGCAAATCACCTCTCTTCTGTGCTACTCTTGATTGAAAAGTAACAAAACAGAAAGGAATTTTAGGAAAAAGCGAAACTACAGTTTTGGCAGGCAAAGTTATGAGTAGCCCTAGTTCACAGATCTATGCAGTTATGAATAGCCCTAGTTCACAGATCTGCTTTCTAAAAGGACAGTAGCTGGTGCAGGCCATGGAAGGAGGCGTTCGGGTCAGTGGCAGGACCCAGAAGAGGTCCAGTGGTCCTGGGTACTGGCATGAGCTTAGAAGGCCAGGTTCTCCCTGGAATTCTCCCCCATATCTCTGGTATTGATAGCTAGGCCAGGACCTGCCAAAGTGATTAAGCTTCCTTTAAAAGCTTTTAATCAAAAGTTCCACCCTCAAATGTTTGGAGACCAAGGAAAAGGATGGATTTGAAGTCTCTGAGCACTGTCACTATTTTGTTCCCCCCAACCACTATTTTGTGACAAAAGAGTCAACTAGGTTGGAATACATAAGTGCAAATGATATCCATGAAGACTCCCAGAGTTTGAAGTAGCTGTTTCTTGTTAAAGACTTTTGGGTGTTTGGATTGGCTTGGGGATGGATTCTACTAAGGAATGTTGTATCTACTTGTGTGTGGACCTTTGTATTGCCCTCAAAAGTAGAAGTTGTGATTTGTGCTGCAGTGAGGTTGTAAGGATAGTGGTGCTAGTGGTGCTGATGTTGTGGTAAAGCGGTACAGAACTTCTTTACTAGTTGGCTAAATATATTAAAAAAAAAATTTGTGTAGCCTCAGCTCATAAAGATATCCCTAAGTGCCATCAAACTTACTTGTGGGGGGGTGGTGGTAAGGGAGGATATTTTCTTCTCCACTTGACATCAAAGCTAATCAGAACCTGTAACTTTTCAGAAAACATAATAGCAAAAGGCCTTGAAGCAGGAGGCTTCCCAGTGGGTAACTGGGGGTAGAAAGGGAGAAGAGACCAGGGCAGCCCCCAGGCAGAAGACCGTCTCTCAGCATTTACCAGACAAAGCCTGGGTGCGTCTAATTATGATTATTAAAACAATTTCCATGACGATGTCTAATATTATGTTAATTTGAAAACAACTGTGTATGAAAACTGTCGACTGTAATACCTAAATTCATTTAATGAAACACATCGTTAAGGCAATTAAACCTCCTGGATGTGATTAAGAAACATAATTACGACACTGTTCTGCACCATAATTGGGTGTCTTTAATCAAGGGGTAAAGTGATCAGCAACACAGCCATTAGTTTGTATTGTTCTGGCCCTGCTGTCCATCATTCTGATTAGGAATTAACCACAGCCACCACCAGTCAGATTTTTTTCTTTTGCATATTAACATTGTAGGGGACACATTTTCTGCAAGATTTACTGCTTAATATTTCTCATTATTAAGAAGACCTCCTTGAAATACTTCCTCTACAACCTCTGTACTGTTCAACCATTATTAGAATTTGGACAGAATAACAAATCTTGAACTTCAGGAAAAAAGAAATGCTTGTCTTCCCCTTCCCCTTAAATCACTCAGGCTCTAGGCTTAGTTGGAAAGAGCATTGAAATGCTAGAGAGAAGGGGTTGGAGAAGGCTGTGAGGCTAGGAAATATCAAATAAACAGGCATAACTTAAACGCCAGGGGTAATGATATTTATTTTCGATTTAATATTTTCAGACACATCAACATTCTTTCCAGATTCAAGAACTGTTCAGCATGTGGTTTTAGGAAATCCATGGGGCATCTGAAAGAACAGGCAAGGGTTTTCAAATTTGCTCAGGTATCCTTCCCTGCCCCAACTCCAACCTTCCCAAAGTTCTTCCAGAACATACTTGGTAAGGGAAAAAGTATAGTTAGTGAAGACCGCATTTTCTTCCTCCCAACAAACCCCCTAGGCCACTTTTCCTCTGAGTAATATTTTCTGGTCATTCTGGAGAATTAGCCTTCTCACCGCTACACCATAGATAGTATCTGTCCAGTTTGAAGGACTTCCATCAGAACCGAGACTGACGACCAGAACTTTCAGTGTTCTTGCTCAAGTGTCCTTGGGCCAGAGAGCCAGAGCAGACAGCCTGGTTCCTAACACTGGGCAAGTTCCAGGGAGTAGTGGCTGGTCTTCAGGCCTTTCTCCCAAGAGCATCCTACCTGCAGATCCAGTGGTTCTTGTTCCTCAGGTGACTGAGGTTGGGCAGGTAAGACTGTAAGACCTGGATTTCCACTTGACTTTTGAGTCCCATTTGAGTCCTGCTGCCCAGCTTGAAGCTGAACCCTGACTGAAGTCTTAGCTGCTCATTAACTTCTAAGAGACCAGTATCTTGGAAAAGTCATCTTTCTTTCCCTGAGTGTGTAGATGCTTGTGCACACAGGGGCTGATTCATATCCCTCTCTCTTCCCCTCTCTCTCTCTCTCTCTCTCTCTCTCTCTCTCTCTCTCTCTCCACAAGAATTTTTCTCCTTGCAATCGCACTCACTGTCAGTCCTCATCCCACATCTACTAGGGAGAACACAGGTCTACTGAGTTGCATTCCCACTGGCATTTGGTTTGTGACACCGGAACCGAACCCTGCCAGTGCTCCAGGATGAGTGGCAGTGATTGCTCCAATGTAATGACTTATGAAAGATATAATCATGTGTTAAATTGAATCCTCCGTTTAACTGTTAATGGTGTGCTCTGGGCACATTTGCGTATTAAATGCTATGGTAACTAATTACCACTACGAAAAAGGATAATACACTTCCCAGACTTTGAAAAATAATGATGAGAGTTCACTTCCCGGCTCGCAGCACATTGTGGCGGCTCTGCCTGGTGGAGCAAGGGAAGAGTGGAGACCGGAGGTCTGCCTGTGTTGCCGCAAGAAGGGAGGTAATGAATCCTGGTCAGGGGCGGCTCCCAGGCTTCCTAGTCCAATCTTTAAAGATATTGGGATTCAGCCAGGAGAGGTGCGGGGAGGGAAGAACACAACACTGTACTCAAAATCAAATCCAAAACCTAGACATTAGAAACATAAATTAGCTTTCTTTTATAAACAAAATGCAGATCAGACGAAATTATCCACGTGCCAGGCGACTTTACATCAATTAACTTTTGTTGTTGTTGTTGTTGTTGTTGTTAGGGCAAAATTAATTGCGCCTGTCTCCTGCCCTCTGTGCTTGCCTTTGCATTTGCTACTCTTGTGGCCCGGGATTGGCAGCACCAGTGAGTTGTGGGTTGATTTAAATTCAGCCTTTAAGTCTAACATAGGGCGAGAGACAAAGGAAAACCAGGAAGCCTTAACTTTGATTTGAAGGTACAAACAACTTTCAGGATGACAATCTCTTTTAGCTGCCGCTTCTGGTCCGCTGATGTGTGATCCGCAGGCTGCGCGGAATAACCAGAAGTCTGTTCCACTGCAGGCCCTGGGCTAACCTTCCAGCAGCTCACCTAACACCTGGGGGTGGGGGATGGGGGGTGTCGGGAGGTGGGGACTGCCTTCGCGAGCTTGGTGGAGAAGAAGGAGACAGAGACACCAGACTGGGGATCCGCAGTTGGTCGCCAGCCACCCTTCTGCTCCTGGCTTCTCAAAGATTGGCATTTCTGGCCCCTCTCACGCAGGGCAACTGAAGTTCAACTTCCAAGTTTCTTGAGACACAAATAGAACCTTGGGCTTGGCCTTGAACTGTCTTGGGGGTGGGGGTTACCAGGATCCTGCTGCTTCCAGTACACTCAAGGTAGGGGTGGGTCTCCCTTTATAAGGGTCACCTTGCCAAATGGAGTTCTGCGAATTGCCCTAGTTTTAAACCTGGAAGAACTCTTGCTTCCTCACAGGACAAGGAAAACTATTTGCTCCCGGCTCTCTTGCCCTATTTAGAGGTTTATGTGGATTCAGTTCTATCAGTTTTTCCTAATTACTGGTCTTAATACAACCGAGAGACTTCTCTGGATTGTCTCAAAACAGAGAGAGAGAGAGAGAGAGAGAGAGAGAGAGAGAGAGAGAGAGAGAGAGAGAGAGAGAGAGAGAGAGAGAGAGAGACACACTGCATCTCTCTTTTTCCACACATATATAGAGACAGATACATAGGAGAGAGAGAGACAGAGAGAGAGAGGGAGAGAGAGAGAGAGAGAGAGAGAGAGAAAGAGAGAGACTTCCCATCTCTCTTTTTCTGCAGGTTCTCTAGTTTAGAAGCACAGAAATACAGATTAGACCATGCTGTGCCGCTGAAGGTCAACCAGCAATGTGAAAGATGATTTTACACCCTACCCCATGATGGACAAACCCATTTTATAAGTCACCAGGACACTTGGCTGAGGAGCCGACTTTAAATATGCTCAATATGTATCATTTTCCTTTCCAGCTTGAGAAAGAGTTAATTCTTTCCCAAAGACCATAGTTGCCCTTGTCTTCTCAACCTGATTCAAAGATGCAATAAAATATGAAGCAAATTTATGATCTGTTTCAAGCATTTTATTGCTGTATTTTTAAATTCATATATGCACATATAAGAACTATGATCTGTGAATAATTTGAAATGCTATAGGAGAATGATACATTTTAGATAAAACATAACCATATCTTTAATAATTGTCTGAGATTAAAATAAAAAAGAAAAATAGATATCTAATGTGGACCAAACTGAAAAACTAATGACAGCAATAAACTGCTAACCAACCATAAATTAACATCTTCATCAAATGCTAAAATGGTACCAGTGGTTATATAAAGCAATTATTATTTCTCCTTATAAGTTTTAGAATAAAGTTCAGGGTTATTTAAAGGTGCCATTATTTACAAATGCTTCTCAGTCTTAAAGATTTGATTTTTATTAGGAGGATAGTTGCAACTCAAATCTGTTATGCTAATGGAGGTGTTTAGAGATGAGGATTTAAAGTTCAACATAAAAATGCTTCATGACCCAATATCATTTTATCATTTATTCAGCTCTGGCAATTACTGAAGAATTTGGTTGCAAAGATTTCTCTGTTAAAGATCCTTATCTATT